TCTGCTTGCTTATGTGTTATGTTTACACAGTCACTATTCATTTTCTTCTTCTCTCTCAACAATCCTTATTATTATAGAATTCCTGCTGTCCTCGTTGGTGTTCTCTTGATAACTGGAAAACACAATGGAGATAGCATTGATTCAGCCTTCTTTTATGGAAAAGAGCAGGTGGGAAGAGTTTATTGGCAGCTCTGTTCTCGAGAACATCTCTTTTTAGCTTGTTAATGTGACTTGCTATGCTTACATTAATATTAACTTTGAAAATCGATTCCAACTTATTGTACCTCACCCCGGTGATGCTATATCACTTTGTCACACTTCAAAATTGGTGAACATTTTGCATATCTGAGTCTATTTTTAGCTGAATGTTTCTTTTTTTTTTTTTTTTTTTGACTGGTAAAGGGATCGCAACCCTCGGCACGGTGTGGTCCGCACCACGCTCAGCCAGTGAGCACAAAGGCCATCCCTATATAGGATCCGAACCCAGCTTCAGCGCTACCCGCGCCGCACTCTCCCGAGTGAGCCACAGGGCCGGCCCAAGTTGAATGTTTCTAAATGCTTAAAACTTTTTGAGTCTTCTTAAACACACTGATGAATTATGTTTCCTCTATTGGAGGAAAAAATGATTAATTTAAAGCCATTTAATAAGTTAGCAGTAATGATAAAGGTCAATTATTGACTCTTAATCCTATTGTAAATATAAATTTCAGAACAAAAAGAATCTGAGAAAAAGTGTAGTTGAAAAGCTATAGAGTAGGAAGCTTGTGGGACCTGCTAAATTCCTTAGGGGGAGGACCTAATGGTATGTATTTTTTTTAAAACCTCACCATACGATTTTTATTTCTTACCTTTTTTTTTTTTTATGTTTTGTAATTTTGGATTTTACTGAGTTTTTGCAAGAATAAATAAGATTCTGTATATAAGGGAGTAGCACTGGCATCTAGTTAGTGCTCAATAAGTATCAGGTATAATTATTTATTTTTAGTATCACTACCATAAAAAAGTCCCTGGTTGACTGAAATATGCTTGAACTACATATTAAAGTGAGCAAAAACTTAGAAGTAAAGAAAAGGTCTGTAAGAAATAATTTAGATTACCCGCAAAGAAAACCAGTGGCTTTATTGGCAACAAATTGCTGTACAATGACAAGCATCTATCACACTTTTATGATTACAAGCAAACCCTAATTTCTCTACAAGTCATTTACATTTCTTACATAAGCTTATCCTTTTTAAGAACAATGTTCTAGAGTATTCACAGCTATGGAGATATATTTTTTACCAAAAAAGGGTCCTTAACCTACTGTACTAAGATTATCAAGATGGGATTGTGGAAAGTGATCTAACGTCTTTTTCTAACGTCGGCAGATGATCACCACTGCAGTCACCCTGTTCTGCAGCATTCTGATAGCTGGCATTTCACTCATGTGCATGAACCGTACCACCCAAGCAGGACGCTATGAAGGTTTTGACCAGTCTCAGAGCCACAAAGCAGTGGAGCCTGGAAACACTGCTTTTGAGGAGAGTCCAGCGCAAATAAATGAACCAGAACTTTTTACAAGTTCTATCCCAGAAACAAGTATGATCCTTAAATATAAAGAAACTATTACATGCCTTTATAGCATGTATCCTAAATGTTTGTTTAAAGGAACTTCCTTGAACTATTTTGAGTATCATAGGTATTTGTCAGATGCAGAACTTGAATAATAATAATAGAAAGAGCTTGTAAATTCATTCATTAGATTTTTATTTATAAGTCTTTCTGTGAAGATAATTTTTTGTTAAATCCTAAAACTTCCCAGGACCTGAGAGTTTAGAAAAAATTAACAACTGAAGGAAAGCCCTTCCTAGGAAACTAAGCACATACATTTGTGAATTTAACAACATTGTATCAGGCAAATGAATTGCAGGAGGCCTGATTAAGGCGTAGTTAATGATATGTCAAGTGTAGGCAAACTATAGTACATAGGCCAAATCTGTCCCACCACCTGTTTATGTATGGCTCACTAGCTAAAAATGTTTTTCACATTTTAAAGAGTTGGAGAAAAATTAAAAGACAAATATTTTGTGGTTTTAAAAAATTATAAGAAATGTAAATTTCAGCTTCATAATTTTATTGGAACACTTCCATGCTCATTCGTGTATTGTCTATGGCTGCTTTCATGCTATAATGGCAGCCTTGAGTCATTGCAACAGAGACCGAGTGGTCTGCAAAGACTAAAATATTATCTGGCTTTTTATAGAAAATGCCAAGCCTTGGTATAAGTGAAAAAATGATCCTAACAAGTATATAAGTGTTTTTGCTGCATCTTCTAGTATAAGTGAAAAAATGATCCTAACAAGTATATAAGTGTTTTTGCTGCATCTTCTAGTATAAGTGAAAAAATGATCCTAACAAGTATATAAGTGTTTTTGCTGCATCTTCTAGTATAAGTGAAAAAATGATCCTAACAAGTATATAAGTGTTTTTGCTGCATCTTCTAGGCTAGTAGGAGACAGGTTTTTGAAAGAAGGAAGTTTTGAGCTGAAGGAGAAGATTTAGATGAATTAATGAAAGTGGAAATTCCATACTTGTCAGCATAGGCCTAGAGACCCAAATGGGATTTGTGGAGGACCCTAAAGAATTACCCTGAAAGAAGGGAAGGCTTTTTGTTGACTGTTAGGGGTGGTTGTTTAGGAGAAAGAGGCCAAATAAAGAGCTTTCAAATTCAAGCCAAGGAATTTGAATTTACTGTAGTAATCAATAGAGTATTAGTACATGGTTTTGAGGAGTAATGAAATAAAAGCTGTATTTTAGGAAAGTGTTAGAATTCTTATTTCCCGAAGTACTGTGAGAACTAATAAAATAGCATGGATAAAAACATTTTTCCTTGTCTGATACAGTGGGGAGAAGATATGTAAAGGAGCTGATCCTTTGTCTGGCCCTCTTTACGTGTTAACTTCTTTATAAGTACATTTGAATACTTTTTGATAGATTTCACATGAAAACATTTCTACCGAGGCTGCATGGGAAGTGTATGTGAGTGGGTTTTGTTTTGTTGGTTTGGTATCTCTTGAACTTGTCCATTTCTGTTGTAGTTGGCCTCTACCCTTACATACTATTTTATCTATGCAGGTTGCTGCTCCTGCTCCATGGGAAATGGTGAATTACACTGCCCATCAACAGAGCCAGTAGCAAATACAAGCACCAGTGGGTCTGTGACTCCTCCATTTGAGAAAGGTAAGTGCCTCTGGGCTATGAGGTTGGAACAGAGGATTCCTTACCCTTATACCTCAAAAAAAAAAAACTCTACATAGAATTTTTATAGAAGGTACACTGTTTGAGAATATGGATTTTTATTTTTTTTTTCGTTAAATTTTTATTTTGTCAATATACAATGTATATGATTATTATGGCCCATCACCAACACCTCCCTCCCTCCTCCCTCTCTCCCCCCCCTCCAAGAATGTCCTTTCCGTTTGCTTGTTGTAACAACTTCAAAAAAGTATAGTTGTTATATCTTCAAACATAACCTGTGTAAGAATTGCCTATACTTCTTAGCACCAACTGAGTAGGGGTGTTTTATTTTTAGAATTGTTCTGTATATAGTTAAAAACTTTTTTTTCCAATTCTACTTAGATTTCAAACACCTAAATTCAAAAGAACAACATGATTGGGGCTTTTGAAAAAACCCTCATGAATAAAATAAGAATATTGATTAAAGAAACAATCTAGGAAGGAAAACATGAATGATTTTGAATTAAGAAAACTTGCTTCAAAATATTGGGGACAGCATTTATATAAGTTAGAAGGAGTAAATTATAGGGCAAAAACTACAGACTTCACTGAAATAAGCTTGGTTAAAAAAAAAAATGGAAATAAAGTTCCCTGAAGTCTGATCGATGTAAAGAATAGTTATCTCTCTTTCAATCTTTATTTCTTGTTCTTAGGTCTTCTAGCAGTTTCCTTGTTTCTTTTGAAAAAGCGAGAGAGGGTACACATTCCTGTTGGAATCATCGTCATCGCTGGCTGGGGGTAAGTCTGTAGTTTTCTGCTTGCTTATGTGTTACGTTTACACAGTCACTATTCATTTTCTTCTTCTCTCTCAACAATCCTTATTATTATAGAATTCCTGCTGTCCTCGTTGGTGTTCTTTTGATAACTGGAAAACACAATGGAGATAGCATTGATTCAGCCTTCTTTTATGGAAAAGAGCAGGTGGGAAGAGTTTATTGGCAGCTCTGTTCTCGAGAACATCTCTTTTTAGCTTGTTAATGTGACTTGCTATGCTTACATTAATATTAACTTTGAAAATCGATTCCAACTTATTGTACCTCACCCCGGTGATGCTATATCACTTTGTCACACTTCAAAATTGGTGAACATTTTGCATATCTGAGTCTATTTTTAGCTGAATGTTTCTTTTTTTTTTTTTTTTGATGACTGGTAAAGGGATCGCAACCCTCGGCAGGGTGTGGTCCACACCACGCTCAACCAGTGAGTGCACCAGCCACCCCTATATAGGATCCGAACCCGCAGCCTCGGCGCTCCCAGCGCCGCACTCTCTTGAGTGAGCCACGGGGCCAGCCCTATAAATTCATATTTTTATTATCTCAACTATATCTGCTAACATGAGACAATAGTACCATATGTGTGAAACATTCTGTTAGTCAGTCTACTGTTAATGCATGGTCTGTGTTATGGATTTAATGACCTCTTGCTGTAACTATACCTGGAAGTGGGGACCTGTGACTATAGACTGTTTGGTATTTAGAATTGCTATATAGGCATGTTAGAGATGTCTGATGTACACAAAATATTATTTCAAGTATTTAATAGTTCTAGTTATATATTTCTATTACTAAGACACAATATTCCTCCCCAAATTTGAATAAAGGTATCCAGAATATACAAGGAACTTAAAAAACTTTACAAGAAAAAAACAAGCAACCCAATAAAGAAATGGGCAAAAGAGCTAAGTAGGCAATTCTCTAAGGAGAATATGGATTTTTAAATGAGATGGGGGAAAGTGCTTATTGGATAATAATTATGCATAGATATAGCACTCATTTTTAAAAAAAATTTCTTATAAATAAGTTTTTAAATGAGATGGGGGAAAGTGCTTATTGGATAATAATTATGCATAGATATAGCACTCATTTTTTAAAAAAATTTCTTATAAATAATAGTATTATACACACACGTGTGCGTGCACATGCACACACAAATTTTCCAATAACTTTAACCCAAGTGATAAATCCAAGAACTTTGCCCTAAAGGCCATTTTTTTAAAAACCTTTTTTTCCTTGTTTTAGAATCTGAGACTTTTCTCCCACTCTCATCCACCAGGACCAGAACTAATTAATTAGTGCTTAATTACATTTTTAATCTTTATGCTTTCAATATGCCTTTTATTGTAAAATAAGGGGAAAAAAACCTTCATTTGTTTATTTACTTTTGATGGCTGGCCGGTAAGGGGGTCCAAACCCTTGAGTTTGGTGTTATAAGGCCTCACTCTAACCAATTGAGCTAAGAGGCAGCCCCTGGGGGAAAAAAAAGTTTAAAAGTAACAACCTTGTGGCATATAGACTAAGAGACTGAATCACACTTGTGGCCTGAATTTCAAATAATTTAAAACAACTGAACGCAATTATGTAAAATGGCAATGCAATTTCAGTTGACTATGCTTATTTATAATCAAACTAGAAAGGGAAATCCCCCAATGTGTTCTTTGTGATGAGGTATATGTGAATTGTATTGTTGTTAAAGTAATTATGTTTTTATATGAGAAACATGAGGATTATAAGAAATGATGTATGCAAATCACTTAGTATACACACATCACAAATCACATACATACATCACAGTGTGTGGTATACATAGCAAATGGCATTCAGTAAATATAGTAGTAGCAGTAGTAGTTGTTATTCACATGGGGTTTATATTTGGCTGCTATCTGCCAGCTAAGAATGAATCTTGATGGTAGCATTTACGTTTCCATAAAAGGGAGTAAAAATATATCAGATGTCGAGCATTCACTGACTTTTTCTGATAGGAAACCCCTTCTGGCATTCAGTTAACCTCTTAGTTTTTAAAGTTTCTAAAATTAATGATTCTTTACATCAGAATTCCCAAGCCTTTCCTACTTAATTTTTTTCTCCCTACACAATATATACTTAATAACAAATTTGACAAATAATCTGATTCGGCAACTTTTTTTGCCTCCCACATTTCCTTGGGCTTTTGTTATCTATCATTTTCTTCATTAATGATGTTGATTCCTGAAAACTCTTTTAAATTATTAAAGGCTTCTTGGATTTTCTGATCATATTTTTCAAAAATTATATAGAATGAGAGTCATTTGTATAGGGCTAATCATATAATTTAGTATCATTCCTGTGTGTGAAATAAAGTCTAAAGGAAATCAAATCATGGGCAAATGAGAATCTTTAGAGTTAAACAATATTATTCATTCCCCACACCTTGGCATAGCACAAAGGCAAAATAAATATTGCATTTAGTTTGTTGAATGGCAGCAATGTGTGAAAAGGCAAATGAAAGATAGTGAAATTTATTTTTATCCATTTTTGTAATATCTACACATAATGGTTTTTTTTGTTTGTTTTGTTTTGTTTTTTTGGTGGCTGGCCAGTATGGGGATCCAAACCTTTGATCATATACATTTTATTTTACTTTGTTTATTTATTTATTTATTTTGGTTTTTCTTTTTCTGTACATAATATTTTAAAACCAGGTTTATTATATATACTTCTAGATTTTTCTACACGTAGATATGTACAAATAATTTTTATTAAAATAGAATCATGCTGTAAAGACAGTATGGCAGCCTTCCTTCTTTTTATTTAGCAACATTGTGGACTCTCCCCCATGCCATTGACTATTATCCTATTAAGACCATGCTTAATGGTTGTATATGTGCTTTTCTAAAAAGTGGCTTTAGGGAATACAAATTTTTACTTTTAGCTTGGAATAAGAGCTATAAAATTGTGGTTTTTTAACCACTGACTTTTATAAGACTGTATGTTAGACTAGACACCTATTTTGTAAAAAATTTTTTTGTTGATTTTTTTTAGTTTCGTGCCATAGATAGTGTGGAGCTGAGGTAGAAACAAAGGTTTCTTGGGAAAGATTTCTCACCTCTATTTTAGGACAGGGAACAGTCCTGCCTATGATTTGGGTTTGGTTCTACATGTGAACAAAACATAGTGTGTAATATTTATTAGGTTGTGAGCCACGGGCCGGCCCCTTAAAGGTCTTTTCTAAGGCAAGTTTTAAACTCTTTAATGAAAGGCAAGAGGTGATAGTAAATGTGTTTTACAGTTAGCTAAAAATAGGTTATTTATGACTGATATGTAGCCATAATAATCATATACATTGTATATTGACAAAATAAAAAATTAAAAAAAAAAAAAAATAATAATAATAATTGTTCACGTGAACTACGAAGTTAAAAAAAAAAAAAATCATATACGAGAAGTGTCAGATAACATTTTGGTCACTGACTGCATATACGATAATGACTATACTATATAGCCTAGGTGTGTAGCAGACTATACCACCTGGGTTTTTGTAAAAACACTCTATGATGTTTGCACAACAATGAAATTGCCTAATGATGCATTTCTCAGAACGTATCCCCTTCTTTAAGTGACATATGACTGTGTGTGTGTGTGTGTGTGTGTGTGTGTGTGTGTGTATATATATTTGTATTGTATATAGCTTATGTAATTATATATACAATTATATATAATTATATAATATAGCTTATATTACATAATTATATTTACATTATATTACATAATTATGTAATACAGCTTATATAGAATTATATATACAGTCTATAACACTATTGATTAAGGAACTATGTATACTGGTGTTTTTTTCTGGAAAAACAACATGAAGGAGCGTTCCTACAATTTCGTCTAAAATAATATACTGATTCTTAGCTGAATATGCTTTTTTCTTGTTTTTCTTAGGAAGTCATTATAAATTTAAAATGCATTCAGATAAAAAGCTCTGATTACAAATTGTGTGTGTACTGTTTTATAGATGATCATTGTGTGAGTCGCTGTACCTCCCAGAGCTGCATGTTAGCCCAGGAAGAAGAGCAGTATCTACAGAGTGGAGACCAGCAACTGACTCGACATGTGTTCCTCTGTTTACTTCTCATTATTGGCCTGTTTGCTGTAAATGTTTCTTCTGGTTTTGTTTTGGGGCCATTTCTTTAAGTGCTTGGCAAAGGTTTTATTCAGACTTCTGGGAGAAGCTTAGTTGTTGCTTTCCAGGAGTGTGGTGGCTAGGTCATCTGATTTCTAATCTTGAGCTAAATGTTTCAGGGAGGGGTGGGGCAGGCAGAATAAATCATTCACATTACCCTGTTACGTAAGTGCTCCAGTAGGCTATTCTGCTTAGAATCACTTATTTATTCTATGTTCTGAACCTAGAATTTGGTAAAACCAGACATCTCCATGATGTGTTCAGGGCTGCTTATTCCTAATGTACTTGACTGACCAAAGTGGATAAATGCCTACATTATCTCTCAGAAGATATTCCTCAGATAAATAAACTTTAAAATAATTTTTAATTATGAAAATAACATAACCACTTTATACTATTGATACAGGATAAAGAGGAAAAATATCCATCATACTACTGCCTTCTTTTTTTAATACATTTTTCATGGTTCTAATCACACATACAGATTTACATATAGCCTGCTTTTGTCACTTATGTCAAGCATTTTTGTGTTGCTCCATAGTGTTCATAACCATTACTTTAAATGGCTCCCCAATAAACCATAGAAGAGATACATTATAATTTACCCAACAACTTCCTTATGAATTATTCCTAGCTTTTCAAAATGCTCTAATGAACATCTCCATGCATTATATTTCCTTATGATACATTCCCAAAGTTGAGAAATCCAGACCAAACAGTATAAATATTTCTGTGACTTTAGATGCATTCTACTAAGTTGTTTTCCAAAAAGGTAGTTTAGATTTATAAAGTGCCCTCACCAGCATTAAATATTGTTGACTTTTTAATTTGGTAATTTTATAAGTGAAATACAGAACTTTATTTTTTATTTTTATTTATTTATTTATTTATTTTTTCCTTTTTGTCTTTTTTTTACTGACTGGTAACGGGATTGCAACTCTCGGTGTCGCGCCCGTACCGGACTGGGACCGGCAACGGGATCGCAACCCTCGGTGTTGCG